CGATCAGCCTGAGACTTGAAAAACCATGGAATTTCGGTTTCTATAAAAAGCAGAGAATTACCAGGCTCAAATCTGAACCAGACACAACAGAATAAAAAGCAGGCGTGCTGACCGATTGATCATGACATTTGGTAACAGAGTTGTCAAACTGCAGATTTGCTTGCTCCATTTTCCATCATGAATAAGTAAATGCTGGAATTCATTCTTTTACTACAAAGATGTCAGATCCATGCAGCGGCATGCAATGTTTCAAATCTCATTATTTCATTCCAGGCACAATAATACAGAAAAATTTCGTTTTAAAATTTGTTGAATGCCACTCATATTTTAGCACCAGTACAATGCTACTATAAATGCAATGCTTGTGCTGTACCTTGATGCAAAATAAATTCACTCCCCAGCATGTGTTCATCAAGAAACTGCCCTTTCTGCATTTGATGATGTAATGTCTCATAATAGTTTTCTGTGAAGTGGACCACTGGAAACAGTACTGCAAAAACACAATACAATATCTTATATTAACTAGCTAGTTCTGCAGAAGATTAAACATTTTGCAATGATGAAGTGTATAAATTATACAGCTAGTATTGTTTTATGTATTCTAGAATATTATAACCAGATATGTCTGTTTTCTACAAATTACAGTATTTTTTGGTTATGCTATTTCATAATTGTATCATTTTTAGTTTACCATATCTTATTTTCCTGTTAACAGAATTATTTGAGCTTAAATTTAAATAAGTTCGTAAATTAATTTCGTAGTGTTTTGACAATCGGGTAATAAGAAGTACAACACGGTTAACTTTAAACCGTGAACAATCAACCCATCTTACGAAATTATAATTTTTAGTTTCATCATCATCCATGGCTTAGGTCCGTCTTCGGGCCATAACCTCCCCACTTAGGAGGTTTCTGGGTCTTTGAAACGTGCATTTATGCGTAGTGAGTGACAAGACTACTGACTAGAATTTCTACTCAATCCTGATTTGACTGCCAGAGCCATCTAGTAGTGAATCAGGAGATACTTGGGTGAGAGACGGCCGCTGAATTTTGCTTACGAAAAATCTCGTAACATGCTCGTAAGGTTCTTTTACATGCCGTAAATCTACTACATGGGACCGTCGGCTTTACTTCCCCTTCGAAGGAAGTTGTGTGTTTGATTTCAATTTCAATTTTTAGTTTACCATTTATTATTTCCTTGTTAACATTTTTGAGGGAAATTTAAATTTTGTTCGTTTGGGTAGTGTTTTTACGGTCGACAGCAAGATGTACATCTTTGACAACTTTAAACTGACAACAATTAACGAAAATTTGTACGTAGTTATGTTTTGTGCCAGCAACAATAAATTTCATGTCAACAACAGAAATACAGCCCAAACTATTTTATCTCAGAAGTCAACAACTGTTTTAGTTGAAACCATGGTAACTGTCAACTGGAAGTCTGTGTATGTATAAATTAGCGACAACAGAGTATAATTAACATAGGTGAGCGAACGTTTCTCGTGTTTAGTGATCAATTTGAGCAAAAGAGAACAAGAGATCAGGATGGACAGAAGAGGCGTAGCTCCACCTACCAATATGTCGGGAAACCGTACATTCTATCCACAGCCTCGGGCTAACGACCTAGCATTTACGAACGTTATACAAGTTATTCAAGCCACTGGAGGCAATCTTGGATTATTTATTGCCAAGTATGATCCAGCCAAAACAGCAACACGTTTCAGAAACTCTTATGATCAGGACGAAATTCCACGTCAGGGAAAATCTGAGAATTTGCCGCGGAGAAGAGGTAGTGTTGTCGATGGAATATCAAATTACAGTCGATTTAAGCCTGGTGCCAGCAGCTCACGATATCAGCCTGTTCCTCAAGACCAGAGACACAAATCTAAGGACATGAGTCCGCCTGTCAGGAAAAATGATTTTCCTAAGAGACGCCGTTTATCAGGTTATGACGCGAATGAGTGTAGAGATAACGTCACACCGAGGTAAGTTCATTTTGTAGAATTTGAGGTTTTCACGGCGGTGAGTATGAAGATTCTGTCTTCTGGGTTGTTCCGCCGTCTAGTCTGGTAGATGTCCACCAATGTTTCAGAGGTCCACTGAGGCTGATCTTAAATCATACGACCTAATAAATTTAAAGTACAGTACACTCCCGATTATTCAGGTTGGTTGGGAAATATATGTTCCCAGATAATCGAAATCATGGATAATACATCAAAATTAAATAAAAACATGAAAATGTAACATACATACAGACATGCAATGTTTAAATTGTTAAAGACTTGCTAATAACAAAGGTTTTTACATAAAATTTAATACTGCACAAACTGTACTATAATGTGCCAATAATTTTTAATATATCCCAATGGATAATAACAACTTGAGGAATTTGATGTGGATGTTATGTGCCCTATTTATTATACGGACACTTACATTTATGCATTTAAATATCGTACGAACTGTTATTAAAATATCGGATGAGGAAAGTCGTGGGATGAGCACAGGAACGTGAGTAGTGGGAATTAAGTTTGTTACAATGGCGATAGCTGTTTACTGTTTATCATGGTTACTATGGAAACCGTCGTTTATAGTGATTTGAGCGGCAATCGTCCAAAATTTCCTATATGTTAAAACTGCTTTTGACGTAAATACGTCTATAAGGAAGGGTCATTCGGCAAAAAACTGGAACGAAAAAGTGTAACCTGGTTACCAAGGGAACGTCGTGTTTACTCAGCATTGTTGTTACCTAGAAAACGTCAATTCTTTATTCAAAATTATTGTTACCTAGGAAACGTAATCTGTTTACTCGGCATTATTGTTACCTAGGAAACGTCATTTGTTTACTTAGCATTGTTATTACCTATAAAACATTACATTACCTTATATTACCTTACCTTACCTTACATTACATTACATTACTTTACATTACATTCAGCTACCACAGACCCATTTTAAGCGTAACTAATTGAAGTTGAATAATCAATGTCTTAATCAAACTTATCTCAATTGTAAAGCATGTATAAAGGACGTATTTAGAATAATGCCAATATATAAACTTCCTTTCTGTATAGACGTATTTACGTCAAATTCTCCGGAACCGTGGTTCCACTATCACTTTTTTGTTGGGACAAGTTAAATTCGAACAGGCCAGGACACGTTAGTTTTGGCTGTGTTAGGTTAAGTGCGGTTTGTTCGGTTAAGACATGCTAGGTTAGGTTAAGTTAGGTTATGTAATATGCTGATGTAATACCTCTAAATGCACTCTGCAAAGAACGCATGAGGGTATTATTTCAGAGTTTCTTGTTTTTCTTTCTTTTTAAACGTTATAATTTTTACAGCACAGTTACAAAATTTATTTTTAATATCAGTTTAAACCAGATATAGCACAGGTAGTCCGCAACCAAAGTTCACCAACCGTAGGATGTTCGGAATTGTGCTGTAATGTATCAAAATATGCGTCTGTAACACGTCATAGATGCGAATTAAAAAAAGGGTATTTATTCTTTTGGACAGGAGCCCGACTCTGGTAGAAGACAGAGATTCGGAATGGCAGACGAGAGCTAATACGATTTTCACCAGCACCGGCGAGGAAATCGATAAAGACTTCTATGAAAGTCTACCTGATAGGGTTGACATCTCTGAGGTTGACATACGAGGCCAGCGACCTCTAGTACGTCCTTACCAAGTAACCCCACAGAATGAATTTGCGTCCGCATCTGGAGATACGAGTCCCTTGTTCACGATGCCAAATGCGCACGAAGTCAAGCATGATGCCGAAAGCAGTAATAACACCCCGTATTATGCGTTCTTAAAAGAATTAATTGATGGCGATGATAGGCAGACGAGAGCTAATACGATTTTCACCAGCACCCGCGAGGAAATCGATAAAGACGTCTATGAAAGTCTACCTGATAGGGTTGACATCTCTGAGGTTGACATACGAGGCCAGCGACCTCTAGTACGTCCTTACCAAGTAACCCCACAGAAAGAATTTGCGTCCGCATCGAGTCCCTGGTTCACGAAACCAAATGCGCACGAAAGTTCGCGTGATGCCGAATTGCAGACGAGAGCTAATGCGATTTTCACCAGCACCCGCGAGGAAATCGATAAAGACGTCTATGAAAGTCTACCTGATAGGATTGATATCTCTGAGATTGGCACACAAGGCCGGCGACCTCTAGTACGTCCTTACCGGAACTCTTCACCGTTCAACCAGAAGAGTGAATTCTAGAGTCACTGGCCCAAGTGAAGGCGCAAAGAGGGTGTACACAAGAAAATCAGCTGTTAACGGAAAGAAATTACGCTAGGACTTGGTAGTCCAAGCGGGTGTGGATGCAACCGTATCAGGAGAAAGTGATCAACAGGTGACGATGCCAAATACGCATGATGCCGAAAGCAGTACTAACATCCCGTATTATTCGTTCTTAAGAGAATTAATTGATGACGATGATACAAAAGAAGAGACCGGCAGTAG